GGCGTTTGCTTTGCGAGTCGACCAGCCCGGCCCTCGCCGGTGGCGGTGGCCTTTGCCCGCCGGTACCCGGTCCGCCTGGTCTACTACCTGGTGCGTGCAATTAGTAATGAGGGCCGACCACAAGCAGCCTGATAGGCTGGGGTGCCACTGGCCGCGCTAGGGGCTAGCGGCGTGGCGTTAGCAGAGGTCGCACAGTGGGCCGGAAGACCGGTGGACGCGGCCGAAACTCTAGACGCGTTTTGAGCTCCAGAGTCGCTGAACAGGACTCAAACCAACCGTGTGACCCCACCAATGGATTCCTCGTTCGGAGAGCAATCCATCGATGAGGTCACACGTTCTGTTCGAGGCTCATTTAGCGATTCTGGAGACTCTCTAGCCGCCTACACGCCCTCTGTGCGTCGCGCAAAAAAGCCCCATTTTTAACCGCGTCCTTTCACTTTTAATTTGGCCGCCGTCGTCCCCGTTGCCTCTATCCGGGAGAGTTTCGCTCCTTGACGGGCAGTGCCCTGGGCAGGCGGTCCGCAGGTTGCAGCGTCGGGCGTTGTGTCGGGTGATGGAACGGTCGGCCCGGCTGCATGATTTCCCCCGAGGTGGGGTCTGGGTCTGGGTCTGGGTCCGGGTCTGGGTCTGGCCCAGGCCGGGCCCTCCAGAACGCCGTCAACCTCTTGCCCGGTCTCAAGGTGCTCTGCACAGACCGGCTCCAGCCAGCGGCCAGCCGGTCCAGCCCCTCCAGGACCCGGGCCGGGCTAATTTCCCGATGGCGCATTCCTGCGGCAGAGGCGGTGTAGGCCAGGACGGTCGCCACGAAGAATGCTCCAGGCTTTGTTTGCGTTTGTCCCGTCCGCTTCACTCGAAGGAAACATTAATTGACTAACTACCTTTGCCAACATGCCACCGGCCTTACTCAGGAACAGAGATGAAATTACCTTTATTTTAGCAACAGCCCTCTGTCTCCCTAACATAAAAAATATAAAATCGCCTGTTTGGCCCAGCAGCCGGCGGCACAAACATGGGCGTGTGTCCTTGCGTTGTTTCGGGACACGCTATGCGTCTTTGTCATGGCCGCTGGGCCCGCCGGCCCGGGTCCAGGGCCCTCCATCCAGACCGACACGGCGGCACTGGTGGCGGCTGGAGCGATGCTGGGGCGGTGCTGGAGGCAGCGAGCAGCCACAGCCCTCTCTGGCTGGCACACTTTGGCGCTAACTCGGCCCCGGAGGAGCGCGGGCTGACGCCATGCTGACGCGGGGCTGTGCGAGGCAGGCTGTGGGAGGCAGGCTGCACGACGCGGTCGTCAAGAAGACAACTACTCGCATCTTGAGTGGCGTCCACTCCCCTCCCCTTCCCCGAGGCACTCCGCTAGTGGCGGCGAAGTTGCCCGTCCCGTGAAGCGGACCGACCGGGCCGGGGGACGCGGCGCCATCGCGCCTTACGGAGTCGGGGTAGGCCAGCGGTTCTCAACCTTTTTCCGCTCCCGACCCCAAATTTGTAGCCAAAAATTTCCGCGACCCCTCCTTTAGCATGCCTTTGACACAAAGTGGGATAATCCGCCTTTGTTTGGAAGCAGTATTGTCTCAAAGTTGATGAAAACGGTCAAAAATGCCTTTGAAAAATCGTGTTTTGGGCCGACTTTAAGCAGCCACTGCGTCTGATCCGAGGCGGGTCTTCGTACTTTCTTAACGGGCATTTGGTCTTTAGACCTTCCTTTAGCATGCCATTGTTACGGAATGCGATTATCTGCCTTAGTTCGGGAGCAGTGTTGGCTCAAAGTTGATCAAATCGGTCAAAAATGCCTTTGAAAAATCGTGTTTCGGGCCGACTTTTAGCAGCCACTGCGTCTGATCCGAGGCGGGCTTTCGTACTTTCTCAACGGGCATTTGGTCTTTGGACCTTCCTTTAGCATGCCTTTGTTACGGAGTGCGATTATCTGCCTTAGTTCGGGAGCAGTATTGGCTCAAAGTTGACCAAAACGGTCAAAAATGTCTTTAAAGTCGGTTTTGATCAACTTTGAGCCGATACTGCTCCCGAACTAAGGCAGATAATCGCACTCCGTAACAAAGGCATGCTAAAGGAAGGTCCAAAGACGAAATGCCCGTTGAGAAAGTACGAAGGCCCGCCTGGGATCGGACGCAGTGGCTGCTTAAAGTCGGCCCAAAACTCGAATTTTTCAAAGGCATTTTTGGCCGTTTTGATCAACTTTGAGCCAACACTGCTCCCGAACTAAGGCGGATAATCGCACTCCGTAACAAAGGCATGCTAAAGAAAGGTCCAAAGACCAAATGCCCGTTGAGAAATTACGAAGGCCCGCCTCGGATCGGACGCAGTGGCTGCTTAAAGTCGGCCCAAAACACGATTTTTCAAAGGCATTTTTGACCGTTTTGATCAATTTTCCGCGAAATTATGTTCCCGGCAGTGCTCGGCCTGTAGGCCAGCCACGAAACCACCGCGACCCCAGGTGACCTCAGCCCGCCGCGACCCCTCAAAATTTTTTCGCGACCCCACTTGGGGTCGCGACCCTAAGGTTGAGAACCACTGGGGTAGGCAGTCCCGCCGAACGGGGCTGCGTGCGGATGGGCGCCATCGCGCCTTACGGAGTCGGGGTAGGCAGTCCCGCCGAACGGGGCTGCGTGCGGATTGCCTACCCCCTGGGCGCCATCGCGCCTTACGCTGTAGGCAGTCCCGCGGAACGGGGCTGTGTCTGGGACCGCCCAGCGCTAAAGTGTTGCTAAAGAATTAAGCAGCGTTCTAGCTGCATTAGTAAGCGGCCCGGAAAGTGAGGAACCGTGTTGCACGGCGCATCCAGACAGTTCAAGTGGCTCTGGCTCCCTCTTTCCGGCGGGCAAACGCCGACAACGACTGCTTGGTGGCGTTGACGAGGATGCCGGCCTCGCGTTCGTATCGACGTGGCTTTGGCGTGGCTTTGGCTCCGCGCGGACTCAAAGCCACAGCAAACACCACGGCCGTTCCATTTGCCTCGGCCAAACACGTCTCTGGCCGTCGCACTGTCCTTGTCGAGACCGGGAAGGCAGGCCCAGGCAGGCTGTCCAGGCATCGCGGACTGAACTACCCTGGCATTTGCAGGCGAGGGATTGGTGGCCCCTTGCAGAGAGACTGGTGGAAAGGACCTGGAGGCATTGTCTCCTGCGGAACGTGTTTCCTTCCCCGAAAGCAATGCTTTATCATACTTTTTTGGCTTCTTGCCTTGAGGCGCCTAGCGGGCTTTAAAACGGTCCGGATGACCCCTCCGAGGAAGAGGCCTCCTTTTTAGCCTTCCGGGACTCCGCGAAAAGTAAGTCCGCTTCAGCATCGCTGCCTTGCCGTCCGACGAGGCGCGCTTGATCACCGTCTCGGGACCGAGTCTGGCACGTCTCAGACGCTTTGCAATCACACTGATTCGTTTCACCCGGACCAAATCGACTCCCGTGTCGAGTAATGGAAAAGTGAGACCCTTATTCTGGGCGCGATCACAACGGCTGTTAAAACACGATATTTCATTTTTTAAATCGATAAGCTAACTGATAAAACATCGGTGCGCAACCAAAGGTTTTTTCCCAACAAAGTAGCATTGCGTTCCGAGCACTCGGGTCACAAATAAAATTTTATTCGACCGATATGAGATATGTATATGTGACGACTAGATCGCAGCCAACATACGAGCTGCCATAGCTAAATTCCCAGCCCCCCCCCCCTCCCCGCCCACAGTGTGGGGCCGCAGCATGCGCGGACTAATTGACAAGCCGACTGGCACACTGACGTGTCACAGGTGTCAATCCAGACCTGGAAACGAGAAAAAAAAGAGAAAAAGCCATGCAGGATGCAGAGAACACAGGCGCGAAAGCACGCTGTTAACTTCGACCGCGATTTTGGGAGTCAACTTCTTAGAAGAGAAACAAACATGAGAGGTTCAATGTCGTCAATAGTATTGAAATGAAACGATTTTCATCAGCTTATGCGACTCCTGGCGACTCTACTAGAATGAATGTGTCTTTCTTTCCTCCGCGTCAGTAAAATAATTGTCCCAACGCTAGACGTTTCCCTTACGCGTTAGCAAACCTAATTCTTTTTTTCTCCGAGCCACGCCGCCCCGCCAGGCCCTGCCAGGGCTGGGCACGCGGCGCGCGCCTCGGCCGGCAATCTTGACATCATGAGACAGCCGCCCCGGCCGGCAGGCTGGCGGGGGAAGGGTTGGGGGCGGCTTGGCCGGTGTACACTTGATAAGCCCTGCTGGGGGCAGAAAACAAGATAGTTGAATCAGCATGACCACCAGGGCGGCACCAGGGCGGCACCAGGGCGGCACCAGGGCGCAGCGCGCGGCGTAGTGACGTCACTGGACCAATGGCGAGGGGGCAGGGCCGGCGGGGGCCTCGCTGGAATGTGGGGGACGGGGCCCTCGCCGGGGCCCTCGCCGGGGCCCGGGCTGGTCCTGGGTCTGCGAATGGGGCGCCGGCAGGGGCGTGCAGGGGCGTGCAGGACGCAGGGCGGGGAGCGGTATACCTCAGCGAGTGGCGGCCGAGGTGGAGGGAGAGGGCCTCCTCGCGGACCCTTGCCCCCACCCCGCGGCGCTGGAGGCGGGCCGTGCCTGCCGTGCCTGGCGTGCCCCTCGAGCTCCAGCAGGCCGCGCCGGCGCACGGCCAGGTCTGCGCACAGGCCCTGCCTCCACCCTCCCCCGCCCCGCCTCGCGCCGCCCCCGCGGCACCGCGGCACTGCGACCCGGAGGGGGTAGCCGGCTTGGCTCCGGGTCGGCGCCGTAGTGCTGCAGAGGCGTGCAAGACGGGACGGGACGGTGGCGTGGCGGGCAGCGAGAGTGTACATCGCCCTGCCCTTGTTGACAGTGGTGATGCCCGGCCAGTGAGCGGTGCAGGCCGGCGCCAGTGAGTGACAGAGAAGAACACCCAGTCCCCCGGAGTCCCGGACAGCCCGCGACCACGGCGGCCCAGGACACGGCGGCCACGACGGCGGGCTCGGCCGGCGATGGCGGCGGCACGGCGGGGTCGCTGCTAGGGCGGCTGCACCGTTCGGCGGCGTCCTACCTCACCGCAGCGCCCGAGGCGTCCGAGGCGCCGCCGTCGCCCGGCCGCGTGGCCAACCTCAGGGGCTACCTCGTGGGCCGCTTGAGCACGCTGCCCGACACAGGTGAGCCATCATCACGCCCTGCACGTGCACGCGCCCGTCGCGGGGGCTCCTTCGCGCTCCGCGGCCCCGCTAGGCTGTAGGTCGACGGGATGGCTTGCGGGGGGAGGAGGAGGGGGTCGATGGTCCTCCTGCCCCCTTACCCCTCCCTCAAGGCACTAGTTCGAAGGGCTTTGCGTGCGGGCTGCAAGGGGTGGGGCAAGCCCGGGCCAGGAAGCCCCCTGCCTTTATTTCTGGAAACAGCGAAAAACGAACAAATCCCATGGAATACCGCGGTGGCTACCGCACTTCACCGCGCCGTTTCTCGCTCAGTTCCGAGTCCTTTCGATTTCTCGGCTGGTGTTGGACAATATCCAGGGATGGCCCAAGCCCAGCACTGGCTAGAAGGCAAAGCGCCACCTTGTCGTTCCACGCCTTCCGTTTACCGCAAAAAAAATGTGGATGAAAACACTTCGGGAAAGTCTTTGAAAACAAACATTAAAATAGGAAATATATGTTTTAGAGTGCGGCCGCTTGACGCCTCTTCGTTTAAAACTAGTGTGCCGGAGCAAGCGTGGTTCGAACCCGCATAACTTAGGCCTCAGCATGCGCGCGCTGCAAACGGAACTCGTACAGTGAATCGAGAGCGTACTGCTGCTGTGCAGCCCCTCGGTCAGGCTCGGTCCTGGACCTTCCAAGGCCGTCCTGGTTTTCCTATGTATTCACTCTAAATGTCTTACCAAGAAATTTTCCATAATACGAAGGAAATGGCGCAGGCATAATACGAAGGTGGTTTTCCTTGGTATTACGAAGGTTTTTCTTTGTATCTTACAATGAAAAAGCTAAAAAGATTCGTATTACGAAGGAATGTTGCTTTGTATTGCTTGCGCCGAATTCACTGTAACATACGAATAACAGAGGTCAAATTTCATTGCAGAGTGTTTAGCATAGGAGAAACCAGGACGGTCCTGGAAGATCCAGGACAAAGTCTTCGTGCTCCGATCGCGGGCAAGCAGTTCCGTTCCACGTAGTAACGGTCCCAGACCCGCGGCCCAGGCCACTGACGGCACTTGACATAAATGAAGTCCGTGAATTGCAGCAGCGAGGCACCTGACACGCCCAAAGGCGCTACCGACACCGCGGACTTTGTCACCAAATAGAGATACACTTGGGAAGGAACCCGATGCATTGCGTTGCAGTGTTGCACCGCTGCGGTATTTGGGATGGTCGTCTGCCGAACCGTTGCTTGTTATTCCTTCCCATTAAAGTCGATGCTTAGGGCAAACACGCCGGGCGGGGCGTGGCGGGGCGTGGCGGGGCGGGGCGGCGCGTGTCCCTCGGGGTTAGGCTCTAGTTCAAAGGGAGAGGGTCAGGAGGGTGGCAGCGTTGCCGAGCCGAGGGGGGGGACCATAAATTTATTTCAGGTCACAACACACTGTAACGGTCCGACCCGTCTCGTCAACTTACGCGGACAAAACTTCCCGGAGAAAAAACTCGCCCGGAAATTGGTGACGCGGCCCCTCTTCCCCGGAAAGGAAAATACTTGTGCCTTTTCTGAGTCCTCATAAAGCATTCACGACCTTCGAGCGCCGCCGCGGGGTCCTTTGACAGGCAAGTCGAATCAAAAATGTTTGCTCACCCCACCGAGCCGAAGCGACCGAAGCAGCACGGTGTGTCGCTCTCGACATTCAAGTGGCGGCTTGGAAGCGGAAGGGGGAGGGGAGGGGGAAGGGAGGGGGGAAGGGGGAAGGGAGGGGGGATGGAGCGGGCGGAGGCAGAGGTACGGGGTGCACTTCCCTTTTCCACCAATTAGCTTAATTACGGTAACCCCACTGAAAAATAGTTTGAAAGATGAGCTGCAGCGCTAGATAACCGGGCGAAGGGCTGGGAAGAATGTCGCCGCCAGTGTGTCGGAGCCGAGGCCTTGCGCCCTTGCCGGCCTGGGCCAGAACGGGACGGCCCCGCTATGCCCCGCCAGGCCCGGCCGCCGCCTGCCCCACCGCAGACACGGAGGGACGCAGGTTGAACCGGAGAGGGAAGAACAAAGACACTTGTCTGGTTTTGTCCGAACAGTCAAGTGCACTCGACGGCAAAGGGGAGCGGATGAGAGGGCGGAGTGGGAGGAGGTGCCGCGGGCGGGGGCGTGCGGCCCGCGCCGAGGGTAGGGGAGGGAATGCTCATTAGAAATTGGATTTTGTTTCGCATTTGGATGATCACAGCGCCGCGCCCCTTCAAGGTGTGCCGGCCGGCGCGCTTCACGCCCTCCGGGGCCTGCGCCCATTGGAGCGGTTCCTTTTCTGTCTGTCTCTAACCCGTTCTGGGAGAGCGCGAGAGAGACAGAGCGACACTGCGGGGTCGTTAGTGCAGGCCGCGGAAATGAGTGATGTTGGCGGCCCCGACCCGCGCAAGGCCAGGCGGCCAGGCCGGGCAGCCAGGCCCCGCTCTAGATTGGGTCGTCGCCCGTTTCGACGAGGGGTGCGGGTGGCTGCCGTGGGCGGGGGAAGAAAGGGCCTTATTTTCCCCCGGAAACGAATCGCTAAAATATTTAATACCTGTTTCCTGAAACTTTGATGACGAGGGGTTGGAGAGGGTGGCGCCCGGAGGGCTGCGCCGCCACGGGGTCGCGCGCAGGGTTGCCATCCTGGCCACGCACGAGCTGGCAACATGGCCGAGAAAAAAAAAACACATTTGAAAAATTTCGAAAAACATTCCTAGCAACATGTATAATCGCGGACGCGATAGAGTAGGGTGTCGACAGTGCAGGGCAGGGTCGCGCCGGGTCGAGGGCCTCGTTGTGTTCGTTCTCTCTAATAGTCGCCTCGCGTGTGTCCGCTGTTTATCCGCGCGCCGGTCGCATCGACGCCGGTATTTATAGTGCCACCCTTCCCGGCAGCGACATGCGAGGGGGCCGGAGTGTGCCGCCTGGAAAAAGAAAAGTCCGCGTTTCCAGAAAAAAAGTGACAGAAATTTTGACTTTCGGGTGTTAGAGAGGACATGAGAAGTTTCCGATAAATTTTCTTCCACCAAAAAACAGCAAGTTTTTTTTTGTCTTTTTTTTTCCCTTTGCAACCCCTAACTGTTAACGCACCTCCCCGCTGAACCACCCTCAAGCCCTCAGCCGGGGACCTGAAAGGGCCTTGGGGGCGCAAAGGGCGGGCGGCGGGGCGCAGTGGGCTAAGGGCAGCGGGGCGGGCGCCACTTGAGCCCCGCGTACCGCGTGCGCGCTGTGCTGCTGTGCGTTGTGCTGCCGGCGAGGGCGCCCCGCCTCGCCCGGCCCGCCCCGCCACACCAGTCGGCCGCCACGTGGTCGGCTGGTGTGCTCCGGACCTCATCACGGCGTCCCTCCCCACCCCCTTCATTACGCAAATGTATTCATGTGATCGCCACGCCAATTAGTGTCTGCTACGACATGTAAATAAGAAGCTCTGCCCCACCCCCTTCCGATGTGGCTCACGATGACACACTGTGACGTCACAGTGACTGCTGCAGTGCATGCTGTGCTTCTGTCCGCAGGTCGGGTGGGCGGGCGGCAAGGACTTGGGCAGGGCGGCCGGGCTTACACTGCGCACCCCTCGCGAGTCCTCGCGTAGCCTTTAAACCTCGCGAAACCAAAACACGGGGAGGGATCCGCCGGGAAGGCCAGAGAGACAAAAGCACAAAACGCGCTAACACGAGCATCTTTTGTTTGTCTGTCCGAAGGTTGTTGATGGGGCTCTAGACCATGGGGACGGTGCTGCCCATGGTGCCGCTCAGCCAGCCCCCGCTCCACCCGACCAGCAGCCCGGCGTCGCCGTGAAGCCTGACCGCCGCCACGCGGACTCGCCGCCGCCATGAACTCCATACCCGTGCTGGGGAACATTGACTGGGCCAACCTGCGGGCGACAGTATGGGCGCGCCTGCAGGAGCCGACGGCCCAGCGCAAGCTGGTGCTCGTCATCGTGTGCATCGCGCTGCTGCTGGACAACATGCTGTACATGGTCATCGTGCCCATCATCCCCGACTACCTGCGCTACATCGAGGAGAGCGACCCGGACTGGGAGGCGCCGCCCATCCCCAAAAACGCCACCACGCCGGCGCCGGGCATGCCCGTGCACCGGGACCACCACGGCCAGGACACGTCGACGGGCGTGCTGTTCGCGTCCAAGGCCATCGTGCAGCTCATGGTGAACCCGTTCTCAGGGGCGCTCATCGACCGCATCGGCTACGACATCCCCATGATGATCGGGCTGGTCATCATGTTCCTGTCCACGGCGGTGTTCGCGTGCGGCCGCAGCTACGGCCTGCTGTTCTTCGCGCGCAGCCTGCAGGGCGTGGGCTCGGCCTTCGCCGACACGGCCGGCATGGCCATGATCGCGGACCGCTTCACCGAGGAGTCTGAGCGCTCCAAGGCGCTGGGCATCGCCCTGGCCTTCATCAGCTTCGGCTGCCTGGTGGCGCCCCCTTTCGGCGGCGCGCTCTACCAGTTCGCCGGCAAGGAGGTGCCCTTCCTGGTGCTGGCCTTCGTCTCGCTCATGGACGGCATCATGCTGCTGCTCGTCATGAAACCGGTCAAGGAGCAGCTCCGCGAGAGCAAGGAGATCAAGGCGCCCAGCATCCCCATCTGGAAGCTCATGATGGACCCCTACATCGCCGTGTGCGCAGGCGCACTCAGCATGGCCAACGTGGCGCTGGCCTTCCTGGAGCCCACCATCTCCCTCTGGATGGAGGACAACATCACGACGGACAACTGGAAGATCGGCATGATCTGGCTGCCCGCCTTCTTCCCGCACGTGCTGGGCGTCGTGCTGACCGTCAAGGTCGCCAAGCAGTTCCCGCAGAAGCAGTGGCTCATGGTGGCCGTGGGGCTGGCCATGGAGGGCGTGTGCTGCTTCTTCATCCCGCTGTGCACCTCCTACAAGGTGCTCATGATCCCCATCTGCGGCATCTGCTTCGGCATCGCGCTGGTGGACACGGCCATCCTGCCCACGCTGGGCTACCTGGTGGACGTGCGGTACGTGTCCGTGTACGGCAGCATCTACGCCATCGCCGACATCTCGTACTCGGTGGCGTACGCGGTGGGCCCCATCATCGCCGGCAGCGTCGTGGAGGCCATCGGCTTCACCGCCCTCAACGTGGGCATCGGCTTCGCCAACCTGCTCTACGCGCCCGTCCTGTCCTACCTCAAAGACATCTACGACTTCAAGCCCTTCCAGAGCGAGGCCAACATCCTCATGTCGGACCCGCCCAACAAGGAGTACCAGACGTACACCATGCAAGACCAGAGGCTGGTGTCCGGGGAGCTCAAGAACCACCTCGAGTACGGCCGACTACAGGACGACAACAGCACGCAGATCGCAGAGACCAACATCGACGCGCCGGGCAACGGGTACGCGGCGGACCAGAGCTGGGGGCAGGGCTACCAACAGCAGGGCTACCAACAGCAACAGCCACAAGGCTACCAACAACAGGCCTACCAGCAGCCTGCGCCGCAGGCCTACCAGCGGCCCGCCGCGGCCCCCGCACCGGAAGTGCCCACGAACCCCTTTAGGCAAGAAGCGCCCAGCGCTAGCAGTGGCACCAACCCGTTCAGACAAAACTGGTAAATTTTTTTGTTGAGATATATGCTAGTATTGTAACTGCCTCAAACGGCTAGTTTTGTTTTGTGAAACATTCACGCATGCGTGGTTACCATCGTTATGAATTTAAAGAGTCGAATGCAAAGATATTTATTGAAATGTTATTTGTTCGTTCATTTATAATCTTATGGTCAAGCGATTCGACGCTAGCTTGCCAATAAAGAAAACTGGTCAGACGTCGATGGAATGTATATATTGTAGAACGTTGACACTGTTAAATTTCACACGAGAATCTCGTAAGAAAACAAAACAAGATGTTATTTGTTTAGTATAAAAGAAATCCCAATCCTGGTTGATTGGTCAAGAGGAAGAAGCTTCCTCATTATTAATGTTGAATGCGCAAACGTTAGTCTAGATTGTTGCTAATTTGTTGTTATGATGCCTTTGAGGCACTTTGTATGAATCGGTGATAATAGCAGAAGTGAGGTATATGTAAGGTTACTTAAGACTTAAGTTCAGTTTGTTTTGTTTCGAGGTTACACTGGTGAGATCATTTATCGATCCACCGTATCGCCAAGAAATCATCAAACATATCAGGAACATTTGTTCCATTTAATTGTAAGAATCTTAAATGTGTAAGGAGTGTATGGCTAGGTGCATGCAAGAGTGAATGCGATATGAATGTGAGTCAATTGGTTTTCAATGGGATAAGCATAAGTTTGATTACACGGCAATGCACTTTATAAACAGTTCAGACTATTTCGGCGCACATCATCGGGCGCAGAAGTAGTTTGCAACTGTATATAGAATGCCACTTGCGTCTGCTTGAGGGGTGAAAATGGCGTGTGCAAGTCGAGAAACTTAATTTTTTAACTCTAGATACTATCCATGATGTTTCGAGCACATATCTTTGAAAAGACTGCCGCCGGTAGACATGTATCACTTCCTTCTGTTTAGCAGGTGCTTCAGATACTACTGTATATAGATGAATCCCCTATCCAGGCGCTCTATGAGACGTCTGTCCCCTTATCATTCACTCGAGTCGTGACGTGGATTGTTTCAATGTCTCGTAGGTTATCCAGACTATGATCTTTACTTTCAATGATCGGGAATTGTGGGTTGAAAAGGAATATTCTGAATAACCACAAAAGTAACGTTTACACAAAATCTCTAGCGTTTGGTACAGTTTTGGTCACCTGCCGAGAGGAAATTAAGTGCCAGTAGCCATCGGCACTTTCCGCCAGAAACAAAAAGTGGCCAAACGTTAAACTGGTTATGTAACCAAGGGGATCCACGCACAATTAAACATCCATTATTTTTTTCAAACGCCATGGGGAAATCCTGTCTGGCTCCAAGAGTGCGGCTGTCCACGCGGAAGCAATAAAATTAGTATATTTTCTCTTGTGATGTTATCATTATTGTAGATTATATCAATGTAGTTAAAAATGTGTATGATTTTGGAATTGTGTAGCATAGGCGAGAACCTTTCAAATGATCTGATCATTATTTCCTCATCATTACCTTCAACAGCGTAAGATTGCGAAGTTTCGTAGCATGTAAGCGAGTACCTCAAAACGCTGTTCAGTGGTGCATTTTCGTCACGACCTGTGCTCAGCAAACACCATGGTGCAGCCGTTTGTAATTACAATTGTACTTTTGACGTGTCGGCAATGCTTAGCTTTTTAGGTGGCTAACTCCCTTATTCTTTCACTTCCACAAAAGCATGCGTTTTGAAGATAATCCTGTTGTGCATTACGCAAGCGTGTTTTGCATAAAAATGTAATTATGAGTTGTATGAAGATCTTCAATGTTTAAACTATCGAGTTACTATTTTGCCTTACTACGTGGTGGTTGTAAAATCAAATTATCTGTACATAAGTAAACGCAAATTATTTTATGATTGCGGTAAGAAAGAAGTTTATGTCGCTAAATTCATATTTTGTTAACGTGATAATAATAGATGCAGTGGCATAGCTGCACTTTTGCAATTGTGCTGGTAAATCAAAGAGTTTTGAAATTTTGACAAGCTACTTGTTACTTATCAATCTGTTATTGTTGGCCTGTTGTGTATCGATAAATTCTTCTAACAGTCAGTATCATATCATCGTTAATGTTCACTGTTTAAAGGCTGTTTCTGCAGTTTATGAGTTGAATAATAGTAAATCGTTTTAAAAAGAATGGTGTACGCATAGTGACAAACTAGTATGGAATTCAGAAATTAGATTAAGACATTGGTGCAAAGCCACAATGAAACTGTGTTCGGAAGACCTCATTCAGAATAAGTACAGCTACAGAAATGAAAAAATATAATCAGCGAATTTATTTATGTGAAATAAATGCACTGCCATAAAAGTCAGTACACCGAATTTATTGATTTAACTCGGTCTTTAAAACTCCCAAAGTACAACTTGCAGCTACACATCTGAATCAGTATTTGGCACGAACACGTTACTGCATCCAACTGTGAGCTGCGGACATTAAAGATTTTAGACACACTGTTGTGTCGCTGAATCAAGTATTATATTTATAATAGATCACTAATTCGCGTTTAATGCTTCATTATTCCGCTTGTATAACAAAACTTGTATGTGTTTAGAAAATTTTCAACCTTTTAGTCCTGGGTGCCAGAGTACAGTGATGCCGCGATGGTAGACATTGCAAGATTCCTCTCGTAAAAAATAATGTACGTTAAACTGTAAATAAAACATAGTTATTAAAATAATACACCATTTTCTATCAATTGTTTCCATTTAATCCACCACATGATACACATTCGTCTTGACCGTCGAGCGCTGATCCTCTTTCAAAATTAGTCACTCTTTGCACACGGGGTGGCCAGACCGCGGAAGGCGTCCGGTGTAGTAGCAGGAGTCGCCAGAGCCTCGGCAGTGAAAGAAACTCAACAAAGGCAATGCACCCTCTTCTACCGCCTTGCCTGCGAGGTGCAACATGAAGCAGCCCTCCCCTTCCCTACACTGCGGCCTGGCCGCGCCTGGCCGCGCCTGGCCGCGCGGTACGGGGTGAGAAGCATTACTATCTTGGCGGGCTGTAAGAAGGGTGGCTGCAATTCGCCCAGGGGAGGGGGTTATTAACCACCACACGGACCAGCTCGGGCTGCTCCGGGCCCCCTGCGGCGTGCCAAACGCCCCAAGCACCACCCCGCCAACCCCGCCCCGCTGGACGAAGATTGTTCCGGTGGCGCTGCCGGCGCCGCCAGGCAGGGTGTTGTGGAGGTGTAAGAGACAGCGCGACGGACTGACGCCGGGGCGGAACTTTTTTTTTTTGTGGGAAGGAATAGACTGGGCTGAGGTTATTCCACAGAATAACAGTGGGACAGGCGTTCAGTTAGGTCGTAGCATATCACTCTTATGAGGTTCCAAGTAAGCATTGCGCAGCTCGGGGAGAGGCAGAGAGCGAGGCAGAGCGACGTGCGCTCTGCAGCCTCAGGGCCAGCACGGCCTCGAACGCGAGTCTTTTTCTTCCTTCCCTCCGCGGGGTGGGGCGGGGCGGGGCGGGGCGGGGCGGGGCGGGGCGGGCGGCCGCCCGCAGAGTAAGACGCCCGGCCGCCACCAGCACCCCTACAACGCCCTCCTCGGCCGGCGCCCCGCTGTCTGCAGGACCACGCCGCCCCGCCCCGCCCCGCCCCGCCCCGCCCCGGCCACTCCAGAGACCCAAGGTCGCCGGGGCTCCGTCCCGCCCTGGCGCGCCCTGCCGTCACTCCAGGAAACGCTGGCGGCCTTCTCACGCGCGTGTGCTGTTCCAGGATGGCGGCAGACAATCATGGACCTGCCCAAGAAGGTCATGGCGGCCGTGAGCAGCAACGCACAGGTAAGCCGACAAGCTTTTCGTCCTCAATGTAGTCAGAGTTGTTTCTAGAGGGGGAAGAGGGCGAGTAGATGCCAGCGCGGTGCGGTGCGTCTGGCGCGAGCTTCGATCCCTATCGCCACGCTGTGATGACCTCGGCCCTCCCCTCGCGGTGCCGCGCGGTCCCTCGCCGCGGTCCCTCGCCGCGGTGGGTCTCGCCGCGCTACCCCTGCTATCGAGCGCGCCTCTAAAGCCGTCAGCGGAATAAGCTTTTCATAGGTAGGCTTAGCCGGCAAACTTTATGGGGACACTTGTTCGTGAGGCGTGAGGCGGCCCACGCGTTGGGTGGCCCGGAGCGCCCGGACGGCCCGGAGGGGAGGCGAGGGAGTGTCAACCATGCTCGGCACGCATGGGCGTCGCACGAGCGTCGCACGGCGCGGTGCAGAGCCACTTGGATTACTGCAAAGGGGGTGACTCACCGCCGGCATAAAAATAGTTTCACCGCAACAATGTTTCTCTTTCCTGCAAAAAAATAAATAAAGGAGGATCCGTGGGGAGTTGAACCCGCCACCATCGCTCTTCGCACACATTCGCTGGCTGGGTGGGCTGGGGGTCGTGTGAAACGGGACCGTGAAACACAGGGCAAACCTCGGTGTTGTGTGCCGAGGGGATTAACGAGTGATTGGGACATCGATCGCAGGTTTGCAGTGTGGGAGGACGCGCGGAGGAACACGTGGGGGACCACGCGAGTCAATTAGGCGCTGCGGACGGAAGGGAAGGAGGAAGCGGCTAATGGACGCGAGTGAGGGAGAAGAAAGACTCGGAAGGCAGTAAAGCGCGCGAAACGCGAGGCGGGGGGGGGGGGACAAGTCACTCCGCCAAACACGGAAGCTCCTTGGTATGCGCGGGGAGTGCTGGACGCGCTCAACGAGCCCCGCGGCCCGAACGGTTCGACGCGGCCAGCCCTTGGGCCAGCCCGCGCCAATCAGCATAAGTGATGGACTATCGATTTTTGTTGAGATTGCAGGCAATCCCTCGCGGCACGCGTATACACGGCGGAAAGGCGACCTGCCCGAAACACGGCGAGTCACAAACTCGCAGTGGAGCGACGGTGACGGCGACAGCGTGGATTGCCTCGTCTCCGGTGTCCTTGCCGGCGACTCTGTCTCCCCTTTGGCAGCCACCGCGCTGTCTCCCTCGCACCTACACGGGACGCCGCACGAGTGCGAGAGAGTCGATCGGCGTGGACTCTAATAATCGCGGTTCAAACACCGGCCGGCCCCGGGCCAGGCCTTCGGCAGGCAGCCCGCCACAGCAGCCATTACCATCCGCATTGTCTCCGGCTGGTTAGCGGGGCGTGAATCCAGTGGAATCCAGCCCGGACCATTAGACGGAGATAGAATGTTCTTTCTTCATCTGCATGACAAAAGCGTGCGGGGGTGGTGGGTGTGTGTGCGGTGGTGTGGGTGGCGGCGGGGGAGGGCACCCCGGGGCGAAAGTGTGTCCAGAGGGGTGGGGCGCGAGGACGGAGCGCGGTGGGACCACACCTGACGAGGTTCCCAAGGCCGCCAGGCTAGGCTAGCCAGGCTCCTTCCCTAAGCCCCCTCCACCCCACGGCCTCCTCCTTCGCCCCGCCAATTAAAACCCGCGGTATAGTTTATAATTCTGTGGCGTCGTCACCGTGTGCGCGGCGCAGCGCCGCCCGCAGTTGGAGCAACGTCTTGATGGAGCCGCCCTGCCTGCCGCCCTGCCTGCCGCCCCTGTTCGCTGACTGCCTCGCCCTTTCTCTCTCGCTCTCCCTCACCCTCAGCCTCCGCCGGAATGCGGTGATGTAACCAATGAGGGAGGCGAGGCAGGGTCCCGGTCCCGGCCGGGGCGATAGGCCGGGCTGTGTGCTTGACAAGCGCCGCAACAGAAACAATAGGGGACTAGACCGCAGCCACGCGACCGGGGCAGGCCAGGCCGGGGCAGGGCTGGCAGGGCGCCCCTCTCGGGCCGCTCCCTCGGCCTGCGACCCCGCCGCGAAAAATCGACCAATCGCCTTGTTTCCGTTTCGTTCAGAATTTGCGAGGAAAACAAAAATGAACGAGACCTTTCAAATCAAGGGGTAACCAACTACAGATTTTCATGTACACTGATTATATTTAGAGTATGATTACATGTGATTTCTTTTGATTATTTTAGTATTTATCACTGATTATAGGAGGTTATTATGTTGATTATTGGGAAATATTGGGGATTATTTGAGCGGCGACCTCAGAAAGCTGTTAAAGTGTCGGAAATTCAGGGTGACTTTGGGCAGCCACTGCGTCAAATTTAGTTGCGGTCATGGGCCTTCCTCGACGCCTTACTATTCTGAAGACCCTACTCTTTCATGCCCCGCCTCGGGAAGGCTTTGACCGCTGATAGTTTGGGAGCAGTGGTCTCGCAAAAATGGTCAAAATGTGAATGAATTTCAGAAAATCACCGTTTTTGCTGACTTTGAGCGGTCACTGCGTCCAATTTAGTTGCGGTCAAAGGCCTCCCTCGATGCCTTACTATTCTGAAGACCCTACTCTTTCATGCCCCGCCTCGGGAAGGCTTTGACCGCTGATAGTTTGGGAGCAGTGGTCTCGCAAAAATGGTTAAAAGTGATTGAATCCCCGAAAGTATGATTGTCATTTCATTGGATGATGTTGATTATTTCACTGATTACCAACTAGACGTGCAATGATTATCTTGAGTTGGGTACCCCTTGTTTCAAATTGTGCCTTCTTTAAGTCTGACCGACCACTCGGGCACCAAACCAGCGCCGATGTTGAAACTCCTCTTAAGCTGCTCATCGAAAAATGAATGCAGAAAAAAAATTGTCAGTCGGGCGGACTTGACCCCGTGACCTGCCGATCCCAAGCCGCTTGAAAAGTCAAAGAGAGACGAAAACTTGAGCGGAACAGATTGAAGGCGCTCCACGTTGGCCACACACGCTTTCGGTTCCCACTGGGAACTATATTCCGGAGTACTACAGTGGGACAGGGACCGTGTCGGGCGACTGTGGGACAAAGAGCGCGACGAAAAGACTGCGCCCTCTCGCTCTGGCAGGCCGTGGCCGGGCCGTGGCCGGGCCGGCACTTTGACTAGCGGCCCCAGGGGTCCACGGGGATGAAACGCCAGCGGCGCCAGCGCGAGGGAGCGGCAGCGGCCCCTTCTTCAATCCCACCGTCAAAATAATAGGTTTGCCGAGTTGGCGAGACCGGCTCAGGTGGGAGGACGTGGGCCACGTCGGTGGCCTCACGCTCTCTCTCCCACTCGTGCGGTGCCCGGCAGGGGTGCGAGAGAGACGGAGCGAGGCTTCTTTGCGGACTCGGCCGTCGTCAGCGGCGCGTCCGGGATGATTCATGGAGGAGAAATGCAAACCCCCGGCCGGATTAGCGCCCCGCAGTGACAAAGTCGCGCCGTCGGCACGGCAGGCTCACTCCGAGAGGGAATTCCCGTCTCTCTCGCACCCACACGGCACGCCCCGAGAGAGAGGCAGAGCGAAGGGAAGTTCGGAGTGCTGGGCGGACTGGGCCGCGCCGCTCCAGGCCAAGCTGTAGGCCGCCAGGGCACTGCCAGGGCACTGCCGGGGCACCGCCGGGTCACGGCAGGGCCGGGCAGAGATGGGGGATCGATACAAGGGCACGTCGTTAAGCGGGCAGGTGCTACAACACTACAGCAGGCCGCGCTGCTGACCCCAAGCAACCCACAGTAGGCCAGACGACCGGTGGAGGCGGAAAAAATTCTAGAAGCGTTTTGAGCTCCAGAGTCGCTACGCAGGACTCGAACCGAACGTGTGACCCCATCAATGGATTGCTCTCCGAACGAGGAATCTATTTGGAGGGGTCACACGGTCGATTCGAGTCCCATTTAGCGACTCTGGAGCTCAAAACGCGTCTAGGGTTTTG